TCTCCTATGAAATGAGGTATTACAATTTACCTCATAGGTTGTTGTGGGGATTAATGACCTGTTTCACAACTGGCTCACAATAAACAATAAACATTAGCTGTGACGTTTTTACATGCCCTTAATTCTGAACCATCTCCTCTACCCATGTCTCTACTAGTAGTCTTTCCTGCTGTCCATGTACTTGGCATCTGACCTTATTGGATCACCTCTCCCTTTTTCGTATTTTTCTTATGGGCTGTTTGATATTCAGGGCTGTCTGCCTGGCTTCGTTCCACTAATATTCAGGCACAATTTCTCCTTCTGTCTTAAGCCTCCCCTTGCAAAACATGCTACTCTTGTGGCACAGTTCCATTCCCCCTGCTGTAACCTCGTGTGCAGGGCATTTACGTAATTATTTATAATATGTATAAGATCTTTTTGCTGCTTGAAGAGGTAAATTCCTTTAAATGAAATTTAAGAGGCAATGCTATGGGTTCCCCAAATTCGATTTTGTTTTTCTCTTTCCGAGCACACAGGAATTCTCCACATGTCAGCCTCGCTTGCATCTACGTTGGGTCCCTACGACTGGGCCTGGTCCCTAGTGTGGGGGAAGGGATATGCTGCTTGGTCATAACCTCCCCGGAGGGACTGTCTCACTTTCCTTACTATGAATGCCTATGAGCTCTTGAGTTTACACAAAAGACTGGATCCCAGAGTCACTTGTTGGAGGAAAGCTACCAAGAGAAGTTGCTGGAACCGCATTGGACTCTAAGGTGAAAAAGAAATCTTAATAAAGTACATTCCAGGATATCTGGGTGCATTGCCCCATTAGTTTAGATTGTACAAAATAGAAATACTTGGACAGAATATAAATCCACCGTGAATACTATTATAGTGAAGGATGCAGTTACACTAGGAAACAGTATTACTGAGTTTATTATGGGTTTAGTCAGCTGAGCAGAATGCTGTAGAGAAGAGGTCAGGGACCGCGGAATGCCACAGGACCAGGTTCAAAATCTGTCTCAGACATTTATAACTTTGACTTTAACATGTTCATTCTCTGGAATGCAAATAATACTTTCTTTCTAATAGTGTTACTGTGTAAGTCAACGAAAACTTATTAGGAAACTCTCTCCTACCTCAACACTCTTTCCAATAGTCCAGAATTTCCAATCCAGTATTTAATTTCTGTGATTCATCACTCTAGATGGCTTTTCATAAAGTTGACTTTTATAGGAGTACTGGACTACAGTCTTGACAATAAAGAGCAGCAGTTTGGTCCAGAGAAAGTATCCATTTGTTTAATTTGTGCCCAAATAAAAGAAAATCATTATAAAATTTTATGTGTTGAAAGTAGTACTTAGTAGAGAACAATTTTCCTTTTATTTAGTGCATTATTCAGCAGGCTCCCAAGTTAGAAGGGCTATGCCACACACTACAGCACAATTTTGAAAATATTGTATTTAATTAAAATGGGAATTTCTGAAATGATTATAATACAATTTATATTTTAAAATCTTGCATAAAATTTTGACCCATGCAATATTGATGAGTTAATTTTCCTTTTCCCCATCTCATCTTTACAATTAGGAGGATAGTCTCTATTTAAAATTATCGAGGGTGGGCCATTGGCCAAATGAGCCCCAGTGAAGACAGATACCCAGTGACCACCTATTTTGCAGCCTTTCTGTTTGCACACACACACAAAGCCACTGGCACACTCAATACAAATGTTCACTTCAAAGGCGCACCTGCAAGAGTTGCCATTGTTACTTGCTATTTAATATTTAAACACATTTAGAGTTCATGCCATATACTTGGTGGCTTTTTAAATCAAAGCAAAAACACAAGCTAATACATAACTTATTCAATTAAAAGGCAAGTATGGCAAATTTTTACATTAGGCACACAAGAAAGGAGAATTAAAAATTCAGTGGATATTACATTGTAAGTTTGCAGACCCTGATTCTACATTGTGCGGTGACATCTTCAAAATACGAGCATTGCAACAAACTAAGTTCTCTGTGGCATGGCATCCCTTTTATATTAAAATTAGCAAACTCTTCCCTTCAATTATCTAATACCTTGATAACTAAAATACTGGCAGATGCCCCTGAAAATGGGTAGAGGAGCAACATGCTCTCTTTGTCTTTCCGACCTTTGCTCACCATTTCTTCTTTTCTCTCTCTGTGTACCATCCCAACCTTTAATTTCCATCAAAGCTCTGTCCCAACACCTCTAACTGCCCCTCCCAACGTGGACATGCACTGTACATACAGTTCGGTTCTGAAGTCAATGCACAAGGTGGAAAATCCTATAAAGTCAGAAATTTCCTAGGGGGGAAAAATCCCGTAATTCTCCCTTAAAGTGCATTATACACGGCCATTTGTATGCACATTTGAGGCTGACATACCATCCAACTCAGCCAGCTTTTCCTCCAGCCTTGGAACAGATTGCTGTTTTCTCAGTTAAGCACCTGATGAAGTAGTTGGCTTGCATTTAGGGGCCATGTTGTACAAAAGAATGTATATCTTTAAACACTTGAATCACACTCAGCATGGCGAGATGCTCATACTATGAGAGCGATGCAGGAGCAGAGACCCAGAGAAGGAACATCAGATTCACGTCTCCCTTCCTGCGCTCCTCTGGGGCATATGCTCTAGTGGGACGTGGGACAGAATCTCCCACACTATTTACATCCTTCCCTTTCCCTCTTTCTCCTTCTGGCAGAGTAAGGAGAGTTGAGTATGGACGAGAACTTCATATGTATAAAGGAAAAATTCTATTCAAAAGCACAACTTTTTCTGAGAAGGGCAGCTTGTGTTACAGGAAATTGCAGGGTCTCTGTTGCTCCTATGTGCCACAGTGGGAGTTGGTGGCCCCTTCAACTTAACAGAGGGGACTGGCTCACAGTTTATGAGCACACTCAGAACTGGGAAGTGTGGCGGCCCCGGAGAGCTGATGTGGCATGTCATGGTTTCTCAGCTTTTGCCCTGTTAGCATGTTGGTTCACACAGTGATGTGTTGGGGGGGGGCTCTCTCCTATGCATGGTAGAATTTGTAGCAGCACCCCCACCTCAACTCGCTAGGTAATCATGCAGTACCCCCCACCAAACTCTGAAAACCAGAAATATCTCCAGATGTTGCCATATCACCCATGGGGAGCAAAGTCATCCTTGATTGAAAACACTGGTCTATATGACAGAGTGGGAAGAGTATAAAAATCTTGGGGGGAAATTCTGAATGGGAAAAGTGAAAAAGGAAATTTGGGATGGAATGAGAGGAGTTTTCTAAGTAGTGCAAGGCTGGGTACCATGTGAGGTGAAGCAGCCTCTGAGAAATCCTTAGTTATGAGATGGTTCTAGGCCTTTAAACATACAGATAAGTCTAAACTCCCATTTGAATCTATTTCTGTCATATGAACCCCCTTCCATTTCCCCAAATCTTCCATAAAGTCAACATTGACACCACATGAGAGTGGTTAGGGGACAGCTGACTGCTCAAGAAAGGGACTGAGTTCCCTATTGGAGCTGCCATGACAGGGACACCCACAGGGAAGGTTACTCAGTTCAGAGGACATGGCATCCTGGGACTAAGGTATACATACCCAGCATGGACTGTGCAAAAGTCTTTAAATTCGTACAAAAAATGGACTGTGGGTATGAACAACCCTTACCTGTATCTTAAGGGGCACTCTAAGGTTTTATGACATGCAGGTTCTCTGAGCCACACAGCAGGGCTCTGACCAAGGTTGGTGTGGGAGGAGATGACCCTCTTCTCACCTCACCGTGCCTCTCAGGGGGTCAGGGGTAGAAGCTGGGGCCTCCAGGGGTGGGAGGTGCTCGCGTCTCAGGGGAGGATGATCTTTACTACATGATGTACATCTGCCCCAGGACACTGCTCATTGCCCTGCTCCCTCACCCTCGACCTCTCTCTGTCTCTCTTGCTGCTTCATCTTAGTTGCTCCTCCATTACTCTTTCATAATGTCCCATACATTTTTCTATAAAAGACTCCAGCTCTATCCCTTTGCCACCTTCCCAAGGCTGCCTCACTAGCTGGGCACGGATTTGGAAGGCTTCCTCTTCTCTTGACCCACTTCCTTTTTAGGGTCAGGTTCAAACTATTTCCTCAACACATTCTGCCCTTCATTACTCCCACACGAATCATGTCTCATGCTGCTCTTTCCTATAGAAAGCCTTTCATGACCATATCTTCAGGTCTTAAGTTAATCTGTTCCATTCTACTTGAACATACAGGTTCAATGATTCAATATCTTACCATAAGATAAACTGAACTCAATACATCTTATCAATACCTCTTTAGGGGCATTTATCATTTTCTATTTGTTGTAACAAATATTAGGATATATGGTATATTTACCCCTAGATGAAGAGCTCTTTGAAAACAGAAACTATGTGTTAACATAACAATCACCTTGTAATAGTTGTTAAGTAGTTGATTTTAATTTTTTCCCATTTTTTCAAAAATAATTTGGCTTAGAAGGACACAAAATACTGGCTAATGACTTACATTAGGGTAAAGTGAGAAAAAAATGAGAGATATAATAAAAACTTAAGGATAGTAGGCTATTAATAAGTGCTTGCTAAAAATAAACCAGTTTTCTTGACATAAGAATTGCCAGTGAGTTAGTTCAATGTTAGGACAAACTGGATTTCCTGCCTCACTCACCTCTCGCCTAGTGGGGTTGTCCACACACCATCCCCTTCTGTGCTGCCTATACTCTCCATCTCCCCAGGTTGGCCTCGCTTCATTGCGTGGTCCATTAGAAACTGCCTCCTGCTTCCACCACCAAACCTTCCTGACCGCAGAGCTGGCTCTTGGCATGGGTACTGGATTCAAGCCAACGCACATCTTTCTCTTGGATATTTGGAGGTGGAGCAAGAGGTGAGGGCCTTTTCTCCATGGCTGGTGAGCTAGGAATCTGCTGAATCACTACAGTCCCTGGGTAGACAAAGCTGGATTTTCAGAAGAAGCAGCCAACCTATAGAAAGAAGCAGAGTGCTTGCTTTGGCAGCACGTAACTAAAATTGGAATGACAGAGAAGATTAGCATGGACCTTGCACAAGGATGATACAGAAACTTATGAAAAGAAAAAAAATAGAAAGAAGCAGAGACCAGGAAGAGCAAGACAGTTCTGATGGTATTTGAACACAGGTCTCTGTTTCTGACACATCCCCCTCAAAGCTTCCCTTGTCCCCTGCTTTCCAAAGTGTATTTGTTAGTGCTGCTTTTGATTTGTATTGAATGAAGTCCAAACCCTTGAGCCCATCAGTCTAGCGTTTCCAGCACCCAGTCAGCCTTATCTTGCTTCTAAATTCTCAGTGGAGAGCTGCCTTCTCCCAGACGCCAGGCTCATTCTTTCCTCTGTGGTTTTCTAACAGTTATTTCCTTACCTTGAATGACCTCCTCCCTCCTCTCCCTGCAATACTAATTCTAGCCTTTCTCCAGGGTCCAATTTGAGATCTATCTCCTCCATTAAAACCCTTCTTGATTGATCTTTTTCTTCTCTGAACTACTGTAGCTCTTAGATCCCCAGCTTTTACCATGCTGCCTGAAACACATTTATTTTTCTGCTTTGGTTTGTTCTCTTACATGTTTTCTGTGTTAGAGGATTTTTTGGTTTGTTTATTACTTACAAACTTAACTGTCTTTAACAAACAGCATCTTCCCATTTCAGTTCATTAGCAGCTTGATTTATTTTAGTCTGACAGTTTGGGGTGAGGATTGAGGGGGGACCGATTTGTCTACATTAGAAAGAGGGCCAGCTATGAGGCTGTTGCAAGCAACCAAGAAAAGGAGAAACAAGGAAGAGAAAGCGGGGAGCAGAGCAGTGAAGCAGGAGAAGGTTGTGCAGGGCCCAATGCGATCATTCTCTAGGATCCTCAATTGCTCCGAAAATTAAAATAAAGTCATAAAATGCATGGAGAGCATGTATATTTCATGGAAATTGGTGAAGGGATAGAGATTCGGGCCTAGATGATCAAGGGGGAAAAACAGAAGCAACACACATGGATGCAGGTGCCATTAAGTGACTGAAAGATGCAAACCCATGGGATTTATTCTCAGAAAGCATGAGAAGAGCTTTCAGAGTCAGCCAGCTCTGCATTGGGTAGGGGGGCGGGGTAGGGCAGTTTCAAGCCACAGAGCATGAGATCCCAGCAAATGCCTGGGTTACAAGTTTTTATTAGTTGAGTTTTAGACACACTAGTCTTGCCTTCCTGGCTTGAAAGGAAGTTTCATGACTTAGGGGCCATGCTGTCCTGTGCCTTGGAGACTCTCACGCTGTGTCAGGCTCAGAGTAACTGTTTTCATCCTGTCTCTTCACTTTTTAATGCTTCCTCTATATCCATGTTAGGCTAATAGCTCCATTCTCTGCTTTATGGTAAAAGTGGGAGAAGGAAGAGGAAGAAGGGAGCAGAAGGACAGTCTTCTTCTGGGGAGCAAACTCCTCCATAATCTGGTCTCATCCGATTGATGTGATCTCACCTCTTCTGGCCCAGCAGGATTTTTCTCCAGAAGGGCACAGTTCCTCTCTGTCTCCTCACAGAGTCTCATCTCGTGTTTTGTTATGCTGTTGTCCTTATCTCAAACACTCTCCATCCATCTCTGTTCCTACTAAATCCTACTTGTCTTCGAATTCCAGCACAAGACACAGTTCTTCCAGGAAACCTGCTACATCTATCAATCACTCTCCAATTATCTTTCTTCTCAGAGCTATAATTACATTTATAGTGTGTATCATGCCACAGAGCACCGATTATTGCTCTAGTGATTTTTATGATAGTTAATCTTCTCATAAGCACCTTGAGAACTGAAGGAGCAGTTGTACAGTCTTGATACACTGGGTGGTCAGTACTTGGTAAGAGTTTAAGAAGTCCCTTCCCTAAACGGGTTCACAGAGGACCATCTTTGTTTGGTTTCCTACTCTTCCCCCAATGCTAGAACGTTGCCTGGAACAAAATGGGTGCTGAATGAATACTTGTTTAAGAATGAATGAATGAATATTGGTCTACCAACATTTATGACTTCCAGTAGTGAAGATCAGTCTTCTTACTTTGTCTTTCTCACTTAATGTAGAAAGTGTTTTTCTAGGTCTCTTGAATCTAGTAACTGTACTCCTTTGTTAGATTTCCCGACCTTTCTGATAAGGGAAAGGTCGGGAAATCTTTCAGATGCTGCTACCTAGCTCCTTTGTGTGGCACCAGTCATTCTTAAAGCACTGTGCTTATTCCAGATCACATCTGTGCCTAACTTAATACTGAAAGAGAAAATGGAACAATGCATAGGTGTAGCCCCCATCCCTTCACTTTCTTATTTCCTTGAGTGTATCACAGTATTGAAAAAATGGAACCTGGGCATATATATGGTAAAAACAGTCTCTCTGGAGACATGTCATTCTCCTAAATGGAAATATTCAATATCATAAAGATATTAATTATCCCCAAATGAATATATCAATATCTCGTGCAATTCCAACCAAAATTCCAACAGAGAATTTTATCTGGTGAAAGTTAGATTGTTTCTGAAGTTTGCCGGAAGTAAAAGATTGAAAATAGCCAAGGTAATTTTAAAGAAAAATAAAGGAAAGAGACTTTTCAGATATGAAGATTTGTTAAAAGGCCATAGAGGTTAAATCAGAATGATAGGGCAGATATGGACAAACAGCCCACTGAACAGCACAGACAGCCAAACACACACACACACACACACACACACACACACACACACACACACAGAAGTGACACTACAAGCTAGTGTGAGAAAATAGGTTGGAAAAAAAGGTGCTGGGACAACTGACCAACCATACAGAAACACACATCCACTTACATTATATAAAAAAGAGAACAAACCCCAGATGAATTAATGGCTCAAGTGTAAAGAGCGGAAGCTATAATTTTTCAAGAAAAATACAGATAGTTTCAAGGCTTGGGACATAAAAAAAATTCTAAATAACACAGAAAACATATAGGTAGTAAAAGAAATAAAGATGAATAAATTTGACTGAATTAGAATTTGAGGCCTATTTATTTAAAAAAAAGACATTATAAAGAAATTTAAAAAGCAAGTTACAGACTAGCAAAAAATCTTCCTAACCATACATCTGACAAAGAGTGGTGTCGGGGATATACATTTTTAAAGCTCAATTAGAACAAGATAAATCAATAGAAACAATAACATGGGCAAGGAGATGAATAGTCAATTAACAGAAAGAGAAAAATAAATCGCCATTTATATTCAACTCTATTACTATTCAGAGAAACACATCTAATAAAATTGAGAATATAAAGCATGTACATACCCTATATTTACTGCAATTTATTTTAGGTTATACACACACACACATACATGTATACACACATATGCATATATTAGAAAAGCTTTTGTATATGTGAACAGGTAGATATGTACAAAAGTATCTCAGAAAAATTATAACTGTAAAAAATTGGGAAAAAACCAAATTTTCATTAATAGGGAAATAAATAAGTAAATTTGTGGTATTTTCCAAAATTTAGTTAAAATATACAAATTAGAGCTATATAAATCAATGTCAATAAGCCCCGAAAACATAATTTGAAGGCAAGGAAGCAAATTGTGTAATTCCTTTGACGTAAAGTTTAATAACACACAAAGTAGTATTTTATATTATTCAAGGACATATGTCGTATAGTATAGCACACAGACTTTCCCATAAAGCAGCTTCCGAGACAGAGATTACCAAGCAGGAATTTCTTTAGAAAGTGTTTTTGGGAAGGAAATCTTGTAGGAAGGAAATGAAGAAAGCAAGATTGGATGGGAGGAAAGTCTAGGCCAACGTGTAGTCTTAAGAAAGGCTTCAGTCAAACTCTCTGAAAGCCTGTAAATCTAGGGTTGCCCCTCAAACTTGTCCTGAGTTGGGGCAAGGGTCCTGGCCTGTAGTGATGAGTCCCTGGATGTGGGAAGTAGATGACCTTGGGGGAGGCAGCTGTCCTCACCTCTGTGTAGCCACCAGGAACATTCACACGAAGATTCTGCTTTTCTTCTCTCTGACACGTGGTGGCATTATGCCTGCTGTGCCCTTTGAGTTAGCTATGGCTATGTCATGTTCTTTGGCCAATGGAATGTGAGTAGAAGTTGAAGGAGTCACTTCTGGGTAGATACTTTCAATAGTCAACATGTGACTCTCTACTGCCGTGGTGACCTGTGACATTCTGGTTCTATGAAGGCTCTTCCTGCTGCCTGTCTGAATGAAAGCGGCATGGGGCAGTGAATGCAGTCGTCCCATGACCCATGTTAGGCAACAGCACAAATAAGCTCTATCTGTTTTAAATCACTATTGTTTTTGTTTTTGCTCTTGTTTTATTTTTGTCACTGCTGCATGAGAGCCTAGCTATCCTGACTGATACCGCATCTGGACTCCAAATATCACTTCTGCCACCTTTGAGAGCTCTCTTCCTCTTGTCATATATATTTACTAAGTAGCCTTTCTTGTCTCGCTCCCTAGATCAGGGCTTCACAAAATGTGTTCTGCAGAAAAGTAGCCATGTGAGCTGCTCTTCAAAATCATGGTTTTTATGGTCAAGTAGGTAGGAAACCACATACTTTATCACTCTCTCAGGGGTTTATAAGTGCTCATTCGCATATGAAGTTTCCAGAGCAGTCTTTCCATAAAGAAACTAGTTTTAACTAATTTTAATCTTCCATTTCATAAACTCGTTTGACTATGGAACCCTAAAAATAACATCTATTAACATCTGACAGAGGAACACATTTTTGGAAACTATGCCCTAAGCAATATTCCTCTTTCCATTCCAAATTAAACACATCCAGCGTGTCTACTTGAAAATGAAGAGAATGGACCTGGGTCTGATTTGCAATGAGTTCAAGAACTAAAAGCCTTTCTATGTGCATAAAATTTCAGTAGAACTGACTTGTAAAAATCAAAACAAAACATTCTATTGGCTTAAAAATCAATCAACACACACATAGGATATATAGGGTAGGAAACACAAATATGTATTAGATATGTGGCCCTTAATCCCATAAGGCTAGTGATATGCTTGCAAAGATAACAGGTAGACTCACAGAATGCAAAACAGTAAATGTACATCATCACTGGCAAATG